ACTCAGCGTCTCCCTGCGGAACTGTACTCAGCGTCTCCCTGCGGAACTGTACCTAGCGTCTCCCTGCGGAGCTGCACACAGCGTCTCCCTGCGGAGCTGTACTCAGCGTCTCCCTGCGGAGCTGCACTCAGCGTCTCCCTGCGGAGCTGTACCTAGTGTCTCCCTGTGGAGCTGTACTCTGTTTTGCTGTGGTACTTCACGAAGTGTCTCTCTGTGATTTCTTACTCTGTGTTTTTGTGGTTTTGATCTCTGCCTGCTCCTGGCTATGACTGGATTGCATTCCTGCCTGTCTGCGTGCTTCCTGAACCGGCACCCCAGACCCAGTCCACAGCCCCAGACCGCTTCAGGGTCACTGTGGGCACAGCGGTATGCCACTGGCAAGGCGCCTGTCAGCTCATCAGCGGGCTACTTGCTCTCACCAGAAGGCGTGTGATTGGCTGCTGGCTCCTGGGCCTTCGTAGAGGGGAGGGGCCCATTGCGCTCGTCCACCACAGGAGCATTCTGGGAAACCAACGTGCCTCGTTAACCAAGTAGCACTGAACAGGGAGTGTAAAAATCATCTAAGGTATACATGGAGGTATATGTATGGAGCTGCAGAGAGCCCTTGCACCTTCTCTCTCTCTCTCACCTTCTCTCCATTCTCCTCTCCCATGTCTTCGTCCACGAAGGCGAAGGACTCCCAGCTGATCTTTGGCCTCTGACCCCCTGGTGACCCCTGCCCCGGCGGCGTCCCCTCCCTCTGCAAAAGGAGGCGTCTCTCCGGGGACGTCCACCAATCAGAGAGAGCCTGGAGCTCCGAGCGATCGATGGAACCGAGCAAGGTCATCGTCTCTGCGAGAGAGAGAGAGACAGAGCCGGGCGAGATTAACTCTCTGCGGCCCAATTATTTTGTGCCTGTCAGGCCTCTCGGTTCTAATGAAATCTGGGGAGAAAAATGATGTTTCAGTCGGCGTGCTATTTCAATTCAATCAAGTGATTTTGTTTTAATGAAATCCTAATAAGCGCCATAAATCTAAAGGGCACCCTGAACAGAGACAAAGTGCATCACACACCTGAATCAGAAAACAACACGCTTGCTTCTGCATTCCTACATTTGTCGGACAAATAGTGCACGAGAGTGCTGATGTCACATCAAAGTGAACTGACTTTGTGCAAAACAGGCCCAGAAATGTGCTGACACTCCGTAATGCGCCTCAGCAAGGCATAGGAACTCTGCAAAAAAACAACACGCTTCCAGAAACATTTTACTATTATGGGAAATTATCACCTTCATTTTTTTTGGAGCAGTTGATCGGCATCAGAGTAAAAACACATTGTTCCTTTATTGTCGTTTATCGAAGATAAACCTTTCAGATGCACGTGTTGAGTTGATTATGGGTTTTTTTTCTATTAATTATTATATGGTGATACCCTGAGCTCCTCACCAGCAGACTTCACGAAACCCTCGCACACCCTGTGTTCCTGGTCACTGTCTGCCTCCTTCAGCTCCACAATAAGTCTTGGTCTGTCCTCACAATGTCTGCATGTAACTAGCTTTATTTCCATTCAAGAAGGAGCATTTCCACATTCTGTCCTATGAGATATGAGCAGGAAAACATCTTTTATTCAGGGCTCGACAGCTCCCACGTTGCACAGCGTGCATGTTCACAAACTTGCTGTTCTGTGCTTTTGGACAAGGTGTGTCACTAGACTTAACCCTGTCAGTATAACACAGGCCTGACACAGACCCACAAGGCATTAGGACACCCCAATTCTAGACATAGATGCATCTAGAGAAGACATTGATGCAGACCCTACTAAATAATAATAACACATATATGACATTCTTTCTGACACTCCACTCAAAGCTCTTTACAGGTGATGGGGATCCCCTCCACCACCCCCAGTGTGCAGCCCCACCTGGATGATGCCCCAGTCCTCTCCCCACACACCAGCTCTCAGTGGGGAGGAGAGCAGAGTGATGAAGCCAGTTCAGAGATGGGGGTTATTGGGAGGCCATGACTGGTAGGGCCAGGGGGACTTTGGCCAGGACACCAGGGCATCGAGAAGCGCCCTGGGATTTGTAATGACTCTTGGAGACTCAGGACCTCGGTTTTAAGTCTCATTTGAAGGACGGAGCCTTTTCTACGGAACCCTGTCCCTGCTGCTATACGGGGGCACCCACTGCAGGGTGACTGCAGGGTGAGCAGGGTGAGCGCCCCCTACTGGCCCCACTAACACCTCTTCCAGCAGCAGCCTTAGCTTTCCCAGGAGTCTCCCCTCCAGGTACTGGCCAGGCTCACACCTGCTGAGCTCCAGTGGGGCTGCAGGGTGATACAGCTGAGAGATTGGTACAGATCCTAGAAAAGATGCTAGAGAAACACAGATTGATGTACATTCAGTACATAGACTAGGACTCCTATGTCCACTGTGATACCTGCCACTGTAGAAATACCGTGCTGCTGTTGTGACCGTCTCTAGGGCACTTACTCCTCCATTCCTCTGTGCCTGTTTTTTTACCCCAGATCAGGTTTTTGGCACCTGCGCACATTTTAGAGCATGCCCATAAAACAACAGACTGTTCCATTTCCTGAAGTATAAAGGGGAATTTACGGGATGAGGAGACTATAGGCTCAGTTGCTACCCGTCTTTACAGAACCCCGGGATATTTAGGAGCATCTGCTTAATATGAAATTGTAAAAATTGTTCATTTTTTTACAGCATGAACTGAGCTATAACTCCCCCCGCCGCATCCACAAAGGCTCAGGATGAGATTTCTGTACATCACCAGCCTGTGCTGCGAGGATGATACGACCACTGGGACGAAATCAGATCCGTGACACGGGGACACTGCGACATCTGGTGGGGAAGGGCGGAATCGCCACTCTGACTGCCGCAGTTTCTCTCGGTGTAAAGACGTTGCCACCATGTGGTGAAATGTAGGACCTGCAGCACTGGCGTATTAAATGTGTGTCCCAGAGTATTTCTCACAGTGCACCAGAAAGTGCATCTCTGCCTCTGCCTCTCTCTGCTAACAGCTAGACCACAGCCTGTCCTCTCTGGACAACCAGGTCTGTCTGTGTCCAGTTTC